AAGTGTTCAGAAAGTCCTTGGAAGAATCAAATGTAGTTAAAGAAGATTTTGTGACAGAATTTTCGGAAGTAATTAAGAATTATCATATATTTAGCTTAGATAACGCTGAAGAATCGCTTTCAAGTAATCTTTTATGTGCATTTTTGTGCGTATTAGCAAAAAAAGCGTTAAAATATTTCTGTACTCGTGTATTTGCGTCATCCATACCTGCAAGTATTTTTTACGGCTATTACAAATTGAAACTGGAATATTACCAGTTCAGTATTATACGCAAGTAACCCGAAAGGCCATTGAATATTGAGAAATTTTGAATGGGAGTATAACATTATCAACTACTACGAATCATTGGCACGTCCAATGCCTGATACAGTAAGAAATAACTTAAACAAAGCTATGCGTGACATTTAAAAAATTTCAGCACTTGAAAATAGTTTTAAAAATTTACAGCATCGGAGACCCACATAGTTAGAACTCAGTATTTTGAGAGTTCATGGAGTTTTCTTAATTCCCATAAAGCTTGGATCATGAAAGCGTTGCATACACATCTGCATATGTGGTTATATTTAAAAAGAAAAAGCATTTCAAGTCAATTTCGTTGACTGAATGAATAGTACATATAAAAAGCTTGATACATTAAAGTACGCAAGTGTGATGGGTCATAGAAGTTGGTGACACAGCATATGCTTTTGAATTCCCCTTCTGGAAGTATCATTAATTAAATTTTGCATGAAGTCAATTTTTACATTCTTGTCTTACTTAGTAAGACGATAAAATATTGTTATCGTGCGCTTAGAAAATCGCAGATTTTCGTCACAAAAACTATTATTGGCGGGCCCTGATTACCAAAAAAGGAAAACATTTGTTCGTGTGTATTGTAAATTTATTTTCTCTAATTGTTATGTAGTCAGAATCAGTATTTTGTGAGTTCTTGATAACGAAAAATCGATTACCGGCAAAACTGTGTCTATATGTGTTTGGTCGTGGTTTGCGCCTAAACCATTCACAAGATTTTCTCCAAAATTAATGTTCTCCGATTGAGCTTAATGAGGTCGAGACTGTGGGAGTAGAAAAAGGTTATTTTGAATTTTAGAGGTACTTTTCAAGAAGTTTAAACATTTTGAACATTTCCTTAACAAGGACTCCAATTTTTTAATTAAACTTTGTCTTCGGATAACGTAAAGAAGGTTTAAAAGATTGGCATGGGTCTTGCTTTCGTTAAAATCCCTAATTTTTTTAGAAAATTGCCAAAGAAATATTAACCGAGAATTAAAAAACAATCGAATTTTGTAAATTGTTTTTAGATTTATTTCTGTGTTAATTTTTTTTCTTTTAAAAAAATCTTTTGTAAGTAATAAACAATTTACATGTTTTCTGAAATATTTATATGCTTCTGCAATGCCAATTGTTACCTATAAAGCATTTTTTTAAACCAACTTTTGCCTGAGTATTGCGGCTCAGCCATTCGGAATATCAAAGTAGTTTTTTATACAATATATACTTCAAATTGTCTTAAGAGCTTATTTTAAAAAATTTAGAAATTTCCTTCCTAGATACCCTATACATATATAAATGTATAGTGTAGTAGTAAAATGTATAAACGCGGAATTTCGTTTGTAAAACTGTGGCATCTAATGGTCCAGGCTTCTTCTCTCTCGGCGCCCTCGCATGTGCACAAGAATGTTGCCCTGTGATGGCATGTTGTCTTTTCTTTCAGATCATAGCTAACGTAAGTCCGCCATTTCTAGAGCAATTATAATATTTGCGAAAAAAATTGTCAGAGGAAGTAACTAACCCTCATATTTCTTGAATGAGTAACGCTGATCTTCTAACAAAAGGATACTTTGAAAGTATGTGCTAAAATTCATTTTATAAATGAACAAATTTTTTTCATGAAATTTGAAATATTTAAAATTTGTATTTTTATGTCCTAAATAGTCATCCTCCTGTATTTCAACGCATTGAAATGAATGTGCATAAATGTGTTACAGGCGGAAATGAAGGGTGCAACTGCCACGGAATATGGCTTGGTGTTTGGCATCTTCGAACTAGTCTCCTTCTTCAGCAGTCCTCTCTTCGGAAAATACGTAAGTAGAAGACACATTCTTCGTAACGTAATGTTGCAACGGTCACCTTGAGCTGCAGTACCGCGTAATTAATCCTTTCTCGGAAAGTAGGTTCCTCGGAAACCACCAGGGGGGGTCGAATACACACACAATCCCACGTTTCGTTTGCTTAGACGTTTTTCTAAACGTTTCAGATTAGTTACAACAAACACGGTAATGGTGCTTGTTACACGCACACGCAAACGCAGTTAACGAGGTTTGGCGAAAGGAGCTAGAGCAGGACTGCCTCCGCCACGTTCGCTCTCCAAATAGAAGTCCTGATTTATTATTTAAGCTACCAGGTGTCACTGGCTGGAGTAGGCGACGGAGCTACTGGATTTATATTTAGAGATTAAAGATCACCCTTTGGCAACCATCTCTTTGCCTGCCAGGTGTAGCCTTGGTCATGGAATTTCTTTTGAAACGTGTAATTAAATAAAGTGCTAACCTGCGTGTTATTAAGACAATTATATCGAAAAGTGACTTACAAATTAAATTAGTTGACTCGTTCACTTACACAAGGACTATACAAGTAGGTGAAGACGAAATGAGGAGTTATGTTTTGACTATAAAAACGTCTTTAAATGTCATAAGAAAGTGAAAATTAGGCGTGAAAAAACCAGACGGCGCGGCGCTTTTAGCTTTGTGAACATGACAAAAGAGCGTGAAAGCACGGAGCAACGTAATGTTGCATAGGGGGGGGAGGCAAAAAAGAAATAGTTCCAAAAGAAAATTGTATTACATGTAGATTCGTTTCTGCTTTCTATTAATCCCAAATTAGAGTTTAATAAAATTACGGACCTAACGAAAAATACTACGTACTAAGCATGAATCTAACAAATTAAAAATCCTCTAGCCACTTACTTCACCTTAAGCTGGAAATAAGTCATCTCTCATAATTTTACATTTTAAATGTGGTAAATTATATTTTATCCACATTCAATCCACTTAATATTATTTGATTAGGCAGACATTTAGTGAACGTTCATGAATCTTAAAGGCTTTATAAAACTCTTCCAAACAAAATTGAAATGACTTGAGGGTTAATATCTGTTTTTCTACAGTGTTTTAATAATTACATTCATTTTATTATCTCTTATGCATTTTCCGTCGTTTTTTATTTTCATAACTTTTCTCTTTTTTAAAACCAGAGTATTACCTAGAGTCTTGTAGATATTTTTACAAAAGTTTCTTTCAAGCTCAGGGCAAAGCGCCAGGCCAGGAAAGGTTTTGTAATTTGGTAGTTTCATTCATAATTCATGGTATATTTGCTGGGTCGGAATTTTATTTGGTCGGCAGTTTATAAAACAACAGCAGGCAGAAAATAATCTATATTGGATATTTTATCATATTTTTCTCAATTGATTGAATACTGTTACGAATGTTCGACTGTCTGGCCTAAAAACTGGGATGCAGATGTTTCGATCATCGTGTTGGGGTCTTTCTCAAGGCCAAAGCGCATGTGTGTGTCGGCGACAGATCTTACTTTCCAGCGTGGGTGGGGCACCGCCGCGTCTTGGGTCATTACATGTAATACACTCACAGGATAGCAAGGCAACCTTCTAGGCCTTTAGCCCCAAGGCAGCCAGAAACCTCCTTTTTAGTAATTGAACAAAAAGCAAAATAAACAAGACGTTACACGTTGTGGACAGCTTCCGTACATCCTGGAAGTATCACAGCACTAGACTGAACTTGCATGAACCTATAGTTGATGCGTGAACGTTTTGGTGTAGGAGACGAGTTCTTTCAGCACTTCGCTGCACGAGCTCTCTAAACGTCTGGTGCAAGCAACATTATCATCATTAATTTGTTATTTAATTTTGTTTGATAATTTTCTCTTATTTACAAATTAATATTTTATTAAATTAAATATTTTAAAATTTGAATGAAATAAATATATGAAAAAACGGTATAACTAGTAAAATAGTACAAAATGCCTTGCATATTTCTTTGACCCCTGTGAATAAACTGATAAGTCATGAATGCTTAAATTTTTCAGGAGAGCAAAAAACCTATCTTAACTGAAGAAATCAGGGATTAATGACATTCAAACAAAGTTTATATTCAAACTAAACTATTTGTGTGTAGGCTTGGTTTGAAATCATTAATCTCCGATTTACAGCATACAAAGGTTGTTTTTTTGGCTCTCCTGTAAAATTTAATCATTTATGTCTTATCAGCTCATTCACCGGGGTGAAAGATTTATAAATTGAAAACAATTTTTGACTGAAAATTTATGGAGGACCTTATTGTATTTTATTACTATGATCTGGTGCCCCCTATGGAGTTGGACCCGTAGACAGGTGCCTGCATTGCATAGGCGGAATACGCCCTTGAAGACTAGTGACCGTATTGTTGACGAACCCGGAAAAGAGTCCTCTCTCGCTCACCAAGACAAGTGAGGGGCGATGAATTGGCCAGAGCTGCAACTCATTCAAACAGCGCTACCGCAACAATCAGCACTGTGGCAATTGTTCTCCTTTTTTTGTAAGCTCCGAGGCACAAAGCAGTCTTTTCAGTACAAATATTGGAGGTGTAGGCCAGGAGCAAAAATAAATTTGAACTTCTGCAATATTGAGACTTTTAGAGGTGTTAATGAAAATCGGAACTTTATAGTGTTTATAAATGCATTCGAGTAAAATATGCAAAGAAAACAATTAGTTATTTTCGAGAAAAATTTGAAAATGTGATGTGCATTTTGTAAAATTATAATATCTAAATGATTTATAGAATGACACTTTTAGATCTTAGTCCTGGCATGTTTGCCATATTTCAGCTCGAAAGCTTGTAAAATACCAGATTTATGCGTAACAGAGTACCATTCACCATCCGTCATTCATCCACACAGCCGTACTGATTTTGGGGTACAAAACTACGTCTCTCTTATCGCCAGTCTCAATTCTTTTTGGAACAGCACCAATATATCTTAATACGAATGTGTGTCTAACGTTATAGATCAAAAAACCTTAAACACGGATTTAACGCCAGCTATAGTATAGGAGGAAAAGTAACATACTGTTTCGCGTCATGTAATTAGAGTACTTTACTGCCCATCGATTTCGATAACATTTCCGCATTCATTCCTTATCCTTTTTTTGGTCTTACGTCTTATTTTAGTGTTGTATATCATCTCTCCTTAGGCCGACCTAGATGGTAGAGGTGGCTAGAGCGTGTGCAGACTCAGCGCCTCGGTCTGAAGGGTCGAGGGTTCGAGTCCCGCCGCGGGCATAGTTGTTTGTCCGTTGTCTTTCATGTGTGTGAGTGTGTTGTCGCGGAAGGCCTTGAGAGTCTACTGACCACAGACCGAGGAGCCCGCAAGTGTATAAAGTGTTCAGGTGAATAGTACGACGTGTCTAGTGAAATGGTGTCGCCATGAGGGACGTAGTGGGTACGCGGAGAGTCGAAATCGGCCTCTCCTGATACTGTAAAAAGTCCCAGGAAAAATTCTCTCTCCTTATCGTTCATGTTTACTGCGATACCCACAGAGATAAATTGCTGTGCAGAAGGCCCACATATTACTATTAAGAGCATTTTACCCATGAGAAAATGAATACGACGCACGTAATGAACAGAATAACCTTTGAAATGCCATGCGAGACTGCTCGTCATTGAGAATCTATGCGGTGCCTTTAAACTATTTAACCTCTCGCAGGTGGTCGCAGCTGTTCATCTTCCATTAAGAGGGTTACCGAACCAATTACATTTCGCTCCGTTTAGAACACGGTAACATGCCAGAGACTTCGACCAATAACGAAGTTAAGTGCTACATTAAATAAATCTCATAAGAGAATATTTTAATGCGACATTCTTTTGGAGGCATATTATGCAGAGGGCAGAATGAAAATAAAATAGGGATATTATCCCGTATATGTTGTTGTCATTAGTTGGTACGTCAGATAGTCGTTCCGTAATCAGTGATGGATGTTGAAAGGGAGATACAATGTGAAGTAAATGAGGCGGTTCGTAGCCTCGTCATGATTTAATATAATTAATTACTAACCTAGATAGCGTTATTACAAGGGCGTCCGGGCACTTAAGGACAAAGTGCCAGTTTTTTGAGACGGGGATATTTTTGATTACAGAACTTTTCCGATGGATTTATGCAAAAACCTAGGAGGGTCTTGCTTTCTCACGAGTTATTTACGGCGTAATTTCTTATACTTGTTTATTTTTCTTTTTGCAAAACAATATTTTCACTCTGCTTTGCTTGAGTAGAAGTACATGATCCCAAGACCGCTGTCCACCTAACATCTGCTTCTGAACGTAATATTTGAGTCTAACACGTATTCAATTTTTTACTGTGCAATACTAAGAGTATAATTGAACCAAATTAATTGAGATCAAAATAGCAGTGTAGTACGTTCCGTGAACATGATGAAATGGTGTTCACGCCTTCCCATCTCTACTTTGCAGATGGATTATATTGGCGCCAAGCGCCTGCTCACAGTGGGAATATTCGTCGCCGCCGTCTGCTCCGTCCTTTTCGGGTGAGTACGAATTTAACGGATGCGATTATGCAGCCAATGTGTGCTTTTTGATTGCACGACTTTTGTGATTATTTGATTACATAGTATGTACAGGATTTCATATCCAAAATGTGTACACTTTTCCTCCGACTTATTTCAGAGGTTTCTGGTTTATTGATGCTTTAAATGGTTGATACAAAATATTTTGGTAACGGCATGAAATCAGTTCTTGTAAATGTTTGATTTTTTACGAATAATATCAAAAGTTCATCTCGGTTACTGTAGTTTATAAATTAAATCGAAGGTTCTAAATAATTTAGTTCATTAATGAAGATAAACTCATAAAATATTTACAGTGAAATAACGCACGATCTAGGTATTAACTCGAACGCATTAGTTAGTGTATAAAAATGAAAACGAATATTTGCGTTTATTTTTTTGCATCTTCATGTTATTTTCACAATATTTCATTCAATTATTTGTGATGCGAGGGACATCACATTCACTTAACGTTTCCAGACCTTCTCTTTCAGGTTACTCGATCTCATTGACGACCATCTACAATTCATTTCGTTGAGTTTCGTCATACGAACAATTGAAGCGTTGGGATCCTCAGCCGCAGTCACAGCAGCATTCTCCATCACCGCAACGGTGTTTGCAGACTCCGTGGCTACTACTTTTGTAAGTAATTTTGTATTGCTGAAGAATCATTAATCATTTTTTTTATAATTTCATTGTCCGATTCTGTTACACAAAAAAAACATAAGGACAAACTTGAGTAATGCGCATTTGTTAACAGAAGTAGCAAACACGGTCATTAATCATTTGATTTTAGAAGAGAAGCTAAGTGTTTCAAATGACCACATTGCTTCTTCAACGCGAGATGAAAATGAGTTTAAGGAAAACTGATGAAAGCTAAAAACTTGTTTGCACATATAACAAAAGCTCTTCAATCTAAATTGATGGGGAGAAATTAAGTATTAAAATAATTATTTCACACATCCTCTCTCTTCGTTTCAAGATTACTCTAAATATGTCTATATACAGTATGTAATGCTTTTGAAAAGTGGTCTAAACTTAGTTTCCTAAGGCTTTAGAATTGGCGATTAGCAATGATTAGACATTTTTTCAATCAATTTGTGCAGAGATGAATGAATTTTAAGGTCATGACAAGACCTTGAAGAATTTCTACTTAAGAATGTAAAAAAAGACCTGTAAAATAAAATTTTTGTGAATAAGTTTTAAGTCGTGTCTTTCGCGACAGCATAACATGTACACATTGTGAACCACTCACTTCCACATCCACTACTCTGCCGTGTTTCCCCCGACTTGTCTTTGCTTTGATCACCCGCTTTCTTTCTTGTGTCCGGCTCACCCCACCCCTCGCTTTTATGTCCCACTAACCTCACCCCTCGCTTTTGTGACCGTCTCACCTCTCCCCTCACTTTTGCGACCGTCTCACCTCACCCCTCACTTTTGTGTCTGGCTTACCCCACCCCTCGCTTTTGTGTCCGGTCCCCCCCTCCCACCCCAATTTGTGTTTGTCTAACTCCTCCTCCACTGAGCGCTGCTCACCTCCCCGCTCCGTGCGCAGGCCACGCTGGAGGTATTCTACGGCTTCGGCTACATCGTGGGCCCCACGCTGGGCGGGCTGCTGTTCTCCGTGGGCGGGTACATCGTGCCGTTCGTGGTGATGGGCACGCTGCTGGCGCTGGACTGCGTGTTCGTGTGCACGGCGCTGCCGGCGCTGCCGGGCGCCGACCGGCCGCGCTCCAAGGGGCAGCTGCTGCGCATGCTGCGCGTGCCCGCCGTGCTGCTCGACACGTTCGCCATCATGGCCACCGCCGTCTCCATGGGCTTCTGCTCCGCCACGCTCGAACCGCACCTCCGCCCGGTGAGTCCCGTGCGCTGCCGCTTCGACGGTAGACGATCTCGGGCGCTTTCGCGGCCACGGTCGTCATATGGGCTGTCCGGATGGCAGAGATGCTGACGTTCCGACTACATATCGCGGTCTTCTTTACACTACAGACCTGAAGAACATCGCGATATGTTGGTCGGAACGTCAACACCCGGACAGTCCAGATCAGAATTCGGGTTGTTCAAGATTTTGTGCTGCTGTTCAGCAGTAAATTAAAGTGTGCTTGTGCCGACCTGGATAGACGAGCGTGTACCGTCTCCGTCTTGGTCCGAAGAGTCGCCGGTTCGAGTCCCGTCATTGGCATGGTTGTTTGTCTTTTGTCTCTCGCGGAGGGTTTCGCGTTCTGCAGAACCCAGATAATAGCAGCCCGAAAGTATGTTCGTGTCTAGAGTATGGTCGAATATGCGTCCTATCGCATAGCAAAGGATAACCGGCTGGCGGCTGGAAAAACGACCTAAGGAAAAAGTACTTGTGTATGAATTCGTGAACAACTTCTCTCGTCAGTTTGTCTCCATGTAGATGAAACAAAACTAAAACGGAGGTAACCGACAAAGCTTAGTGATGTGATGTTGAAGAATGAAGTATTATCCGCACGCGCTAACACATACACTTGTGTAATTGAAACAGAAATATCGTATTGTAAACAAAATGCACTGAAATAAGTTTGTATCTCGAGCATTATCAGGTTGTCTCATATGAAAGTACCAAAATATTTATAAGACAAACACTCACTCTAAAAAATCACATTTTAAAAACATAGTTCAGTAAAAAATAAGATAGAAGACCGGAATAAGAGCTATGTCTAAAGATCGACCTTCGAAGTCGGAATGAAATATACAAATTGATATCCAAATATTACAGCATTAAATTTGATTTCTTATAAGGGTTTTTACTTTTCATAATACTGTACTGTTATAATATCGACTTAACGCAACCTAATAGACGAATGAAAATCCACTTTTACGGTTGGCATCCGTTAAGGATTTAACAGTGCGCGATCCTTTAAGAACAATCCAAAGAAATGAATTGTAGATAAGGAGGGTATTTATTCCAAAAAAATTGAAAAAAAAAGTCATAAACAAGAAATAACATAAGATGTATCACGAAAAGTATTGAACGACTCTCTCATAACACAAATGAGACTCGATTAGTTATTCACTTCAGCTGCCGTCGCTTTTTTTTTTTTTTTTTTTTTTCAAAATTCAACCACGTTTGTTATTTACAATTTACTGACATCGTTAATGAATATAAAAATTCGTAAGTATATTAGTTTTATATGAGTGCCAAATCCATATCCAAGACGAGATTTGCGCATGCGAGATGTAAGTACATCAGTTTTTCATCCGTGCCGAACGGCGTGCGCAGTTCGACCTGGGCCCGGTGATGGTGGGGCTGGTGTTCGTGGTGTCGGGCGGCACGTACGCCGTGACGGCGCCCGTCGTCGGCCGCCTGTGCGACCGCTCCGTGCCCCCGCGCCGCCTCATGCTGCTCGGCTCCACCTTCATCATCGCCTCCTACCTGCTCGTCGGCCCCGCGCCCTTCCTCAGGGTGGAGCCGTAAGTGCCCGGCGACCTGGCCAGTAGGGACGCGACGGCGCTAACGCAGCGTCGATGTGACCGAAAATGTGCATGTTGTGCCCTACGCCGCCCTACAGCAGGGGGGAGGGGTTGCCCTTGCAAATCCGACTTCAGTCGGTGAGCTTCAGACACCAGTTTGCGTCGCAATATTAGCAGGAATTTTAAATTCAGCTAGATACCAAAATAATTATCCCTTTACAAGACATTGAAATAAATTTATGAAGAATTTCTTTTAAATATTGCATCTTGTCCACTATCCTCGAATTAATTTTGGTTGGTTAGCGTTAAAAATTGCATTTTGTATCGATTTTAAAATGTTTCTCAACACTTCTCGCTCCTCATGTAACATGGCGGCCAGCGTCAGGTGTAGCTTTTCAAACGAAATGCCCGTGCTGTGGTCACTGTGGTCACGTGGTTCGTGACGCAAACTGGTGTTGCGCATAACGACCAAAAAATTGGTGCGCCGAAGGAACCCATGTCTTTCTATCCTGTCCAGTAGTGATGCGACACCTGTAACAAAGCGTCGATATTTCTAAATATCTTTATTGACGAAACATCGATTCTATTTTCCACCCTTTCATTGAATATTCAATTTATGAACATCTGATAATTATTTAAGATTTTTATTACGATGGGTCTTTTTTTCATTTAAGAAAAATCAACCACGTGGAAACATTAAATATAAAATCCAGGTTAAAAAAACATCGGCTTTAAAATATCGATGTTAAATACATCAAACAATAAAAATTAAGGTTTCATGTGCAACATAAATTTAATTTGACAGAGATTGTGTTTATTAATTTGTAATTATGATACAAAATTTATGTATTACAGAAAACAAAGCAAAGAAATGAATAGCAATGGACAAAACTGAGTGTGATAGCCGAACACATTAAATGACAATGATACCATCAGTTATTATTTCGTATTCCAATATTTACAAAATTGTAATTATGGGAGTTTTTCACTAAACAAACAAAACGTAAACGTAAAAATGTTGAGCTCAAAACGTCGATGTGAAAACCCATCTAATATTCTTTCCCCCATTTAATACATCAATGTTTGAAACATCAATGTTTGAAACATCAATGTTTGAAACATCAATGTTTGAAACATCAATGTTTGAAACATCGATGCTTTGAAAACATCGATGCTTTGAAAACATCGACATCGATGTCGCATCTCCAGTGCATGAAGTACATCAGTCCCTAATGCTCATGACGAGTTTCCAATAAGTATCCAATAGTTCTATTGACCTTTGCTTTGGATGTCACCGCATTGAGATGTGAAGTAGATCTGCATTTGGTTGTTTTGCAGAAGTACCAGCTTCTTAATAACTACCTAGTTGAATCTTGTAAAGTCGATAAATTATCCAAATTTTACGCGCCAAATCCAAAACGTAAATTCTTTAACAATTTTTGAAATATTAAGATAACCCTCACAAAAAGTAGGTTTCCTTAAAAAAACAGACGTGACTGTACCAGTAATTCCTATTTTAGACACATGCATGAAAGTTTTCGTACATGCAAAGTAATAGAGTATAAAAAAATGTACAATCTTTTGAAAAGCCTTATAATGTGGATTTCTATATTACTGCAATAAGCAATAGGAAGCAATAAGATAACTAACATTGGAATAGCTCTTTACATCAGAACAATTTGTCGCCGCCCCGTTTGGCGAGTTTCTTGAGCGCCTTGTGTTCTTGTGTTGCAGGCAACTACCAGCCATTGTTGTGGGTTTGATCATCCACGGCCTGGGAGTCGCCTTCATTCTAGTGCCTTGCTTTATCGACGCCATTCGCTCCGCTGTGTAAGTACCTGCCTTCGCCCTCTCGCGTGTCTTTGGACGCGATAAACACACGAGATCCGACTGAAAACCCTATGTATTGTGAAGTGAACTTGCCAAATTTCTAGTTTCAAATTTGGGAAATGTTGAGACATGATTTCACGTTGCAAAGATTCTTTTCGTGTGTGGTATTGGGACAACACTGAAATTCCTACGGTTTTCATGTTAGATGTCGAATCCGGGAGACTTAGCTCGACAGCGTCCGCCTGGCAAGGAAATATACTAATTTCCTTAACAATTGTAATTATGTTTATTTTCAAGTCTTATTATACTGTATTGGGTTTTTCTGCCATAAGTTTGTTGTTAGTGGAAGAAGTAGAAAGTTTTACGATATCAGGTAAGTCTGAAATTTACATAGCCAGAGCATTCACTATTCTTTCTTTAGTTTCACATTATGATCTCTTTTTTAGTTAAGCCCATTCCACATTTTAACTTTATGTATTGATACCTCGGGTAAATTAGAATATGAAAGCTTCTCTTCGATATTTTACCGAATAGATGTGATTTTAACGTGACGGGAAGAATTGAGCAGATTCGTTTGCAAAAAGAGCAAGCTGAGTGTTTTATTTCCACACCGCAAAATTCCTGAGGTTTGATTATAGGATATTAAAAACATATGCGTACATACGTTTCATTTATTTCGAAAATCAGGCGTGCACTCGTTTATTGCATGAAATGATCATGATGAGCATATGTTTTCTACATGATCTTCTGTTCAGACTTACGATGTTCAGGAACGTAAGATGAATTATTTTTTTCTGTAAGCCTACTCGTGCTCCTCCACCTCCTCCCTTTCGTTATTATTATTTCCATAATGTTACATATCGTTTTAATGTTGTAGGTAGTATCGTTTCCAAATAACATGTTAACAAAGTTTCATGAGTTTGTGATTCAATCAGTTGCACATAATCATGATTTCTCTACAACTGTATTAACAGTTGATAAATGGATGTATTGTTCTCATTGGTGCTACTGTGTTGGTATATGGAAGAGTATTGTTGGAGCGCAGGAGTCATGGCTGTTATGGTTTCCGCTATCTACTAATCAATGAAGTATCAAACAACCATGACAATGCCCTTTAGATTAGTCCTATCTGTCAACTGTACGCGATAATCGACGTGTGTGACCAAGATAGAGCGTACTCACATGCGCTGTGTGCGGTGTGTCACCGCCGCTGCACACGATCTCGTGTGCGCCCGTGCTCAGCATTGGTTGCTTTACGATTTTCTGGTTTGGTCATCTTCGTGTTTGGTTCCACAGTCCTCTGGTTGGCACTAAGAACCATTTGTGTGTAGTTAATACATAGAGCTGCAAAGTTCACGATTTGCTATCAATTCGTATCTTAAAGAGCATATTGCGCTTTTTTTTTCTCTAAATGCGTGCCGAATGAGTTTAGCTCAGAGCCAGCATTGCTACAGATTCTGCAGCGTCTTTGACGTCCTTGGGTTTGAGACCCAACGGTGGCGGATTTTCGACAGCTATGTAGCCAAGTGAAATTCAACCGCTGTCTGAAGGAGAATTGTAGAGATGGATTGCTCTGTTCGATTGTATTCCGTGTTTTTTTTCCGATCAGTACCAAGCGAATGCCGGAGCAGTACCCTAACAAACCGGCCACCGACCGCGCGCGGTCTTCCCCTTGCTTGCAACCACAGACTGACGCAATACCTATCACGTGTGTCCGAAGACCAGTCGGGAGGTACGAATATTATTTTATGAATTTTTTCAAGTTATAGAATATTAGTATATTTGTGTTGCAAAGGAAATTATCATCTGATGGAAAAAACTAGGGATGCTCTCTAAATAGTGTGTATTCAAAAAAGACTAGAGCTTGAAGACTTTTCAAATGTAAAAATAGTCGAATATTTTAGAATTTTCAAAAATGGAATATTGTTTTGCTCGAAATTTTTTCTCCTGTTTATTTTGTCACTATATTTGCAAGATTTGAAGGCATCTGTAAAATATTTTTCTGATGTCTACAAAAAGAACGTGTTGCCACTAATGAAATATGGTACGGTAGTCTTTTTATTTACTTTCGAGATTATTTCCCGTTAGTCCGACTACCTACTGGCTTCACGATATACTCTTGACGATATACTCACTTGATAGTTCGCATCACTCATTATTCTCCATAATCTTACGCCGAAGAAGCCCTTTGACCCGTGTCGGAACTGTACGTACTACATTAGCACCCGAGACAACACATGTGCCCGTCTGAGAGGTTGAATCTGTGTGGCATTAGGGTGCATTGGCGGATCCAGGAGGGGGACATGGGCGCCATTGCCCCCCCCCCAAGAGGCCTCGACTTTTGTTTACCTTCTTTTATTTGGCAAAATTGTTTTAAATAATTATGTTCGAATTGTGTAATTGTTGAAACAATAATATTATATAGTATCATGTCTGTCTGTTTGTTCTTGGCGCGAAAGCCCGCGAACAGGCCAAGGCCTATACCAGTAATGCGCCGGCTTTGCGGCCATGAGTTAAAGTGTACGCGTGGTTAGCACGGAGACATCCCTCTCCCGTCTATACTGATCTTCATGACCTTAGGGTGGGTTTTCTCATCGTCACATAGCAACATACTGGGGCATTCCGAGGAAAACGCACACTATAATGGTGCGCGACCAGGAATCGAACCCGCGGAAAACGAGCACGCTGACTAATGAACTACACCGCGAGGGCAGTAACATATCTACAATACATTAACAATACAACAAAAATCTACGATGCCCCTCTCCAATGATCGGCTGGATTCCCCCCGGCCTGTGAGATACCCTTACGTGGAAAAGACTGGAATTTACGAGATAAAAAATTTACCCTCGTGAAACACACAACAGAACTCTATTTAGACTAAGTGCAAGATTCAAAACCACAGAATTGTCG